TATAGTAATACATGTTGGATTTAGCTAAACATCTTTAATTTTAATAGGGCCTTAAAATTTGCAAATGTGCATTTTTATCTTTTTTTACTAAAAATTGCATATTTGCTCATAACTACCCATTTAACTTAATTTTTAGTTTTTTATGTTTAGTGTTTGCTTGCTTTGCTTTGAAAAAACTACCCTAGATATTATGCTTATAAGCTTATGTAACGCTTAATTATTACAAGCATAATAAACATGTTTGCAATATTATTTAATTTAATTACGGTAGCTTTTACTCACAATTTTTATTACGGACTCTACAGACATTGCCGAGTAACGTGGAATGGATGTATAGTGAAAATAAATTCAATATACAGTATGACCCATTTGTTTGCGACTCACCCCTGTTAAATCTTTATTTATTGTGCGATTTTAACCGGATTTGTTTTAAAGTGACAGAATAAATTTTTGTAAATAGTAATTATAGTGCATTTTAAATTTACCTACAAAATTGGTCCTACTTAAATTTTTTCAATAAAATTTAGTATAGGGTCATTTTGAGGGGTAGTGAATCCAGTGAATTTACTGACATAGTAGGCCTTGTATTTTGTAAAAATATAGTATTTTTTGCTCCAAAAATAAAGCTTATCAAGATCTACACTTTAAAACAAATCCGGCTAAAATCGCACAATAAATTAAGATTTACATGGGTGAGTCGCAAACAAATGGGTCACACTTTATTGAAATAAATTCCCATATATTGGAAATAAATCCAATATATAAAAATTTGGTTTTCATTCTTTAACACTAGCTGCAGTCTCGTCCTAACACTTGAAGTGATAGGTAGGGCTACGGTCGTTAACGAGAACCCTCCTAAGCAGTGTAAACGATACGAACTCAAGTACCAAAAGACGAATCTAAGAATCGGCGATTGCCAAGAAACACGGACTGTCCGCTAGGGATAGGAAAACAGAATTCAAGTCTAATTAGTCCAGCTAAGTAATTTTCCTAATTGTATGACCTAATACAGGAGTCCTGTAACAGGACCAATTCGATTCTAATCTATAAACTAATCGTTAAATACTTATATACGCAAACTTCGCAATGATATTACCAAAAATGTCATCTGGCTTCAGAAAACAAACAGGTCCCTACACTGAAAAAAGTAAACTATTTCAAATTTTAATTCTAACTGAACAGTTTTTGCACATTCAATACGACCAATGCGCATAATTGTTTATTTAAAAGTCTCGAAATGTTACCTACAGTCTTTACATTAAACTCGTACAGTTTTTAAATATATCTACATTTTATTACTACAAAAATGTACAAAGATTTCAATTAATGCAGTTCATTTAAAAAAAATCTCACGTGAGATTAAGGGAGGGGGGAGGGGGTCGAGCAAAATCCCCCGACATCTCACCAAGGGAAGGGGGGAGTCAAAAAATCGCCAAAATTGCCTCACGTAATTAATGGATGACCCCTTAATTTAAATAAAATAAAAATTATATTATACAAACACAATTAATTGTGTCCTAAATGATACACTGCCCGTCAAATTTAACGCATAATAAGTAAATTATTATATTGGTAAAAGCGTTTTAAAGTTTGATTTTTTTTACTTGTTATACGTTAATTTTGACGCGCAGTGTATTTATATACATATACAAATACAATACAAATTTTAAAACGAATGTCAAGCGATGCTGTCAATTTCTTTTCACACAGACCTGTCACTTTTCACACAGAAATCATTTCACTAGTAATACCACTAGAGGTCAAATTATTTCCGGAAATTTTTTCGAGCTCATGAATATTTTGAAAATTATCCCGAGTCGAAGACGAGGGATAATTTTCTAAAAATATTCATGAGGGAGAAAAAATTTCCGGATTTAATTTGACCTCGTGTGGTATTCGGTAAGAAAATTCCACACCAAATTGTGTTTAAATAATTAAAATTTATTTTTTGATTTAACTTGACCTTGACTTGATTATTTAGTTACCATGGCAACTAAGTCAACCCCAACCTAAAAGTTATTTCAGTTTTGAAGCTGTCAAGCGGCACGACGTAAAAAAATGTGAAATTGTCTGCTGTAATGATCAATCATCGTACAATGACTTATTTACCCGCATTATTAGAGGATTGTGGCTCCTACTTGAAGAAAGAAAATTTGTTTTGAATTGTTCACGAATATTTGCATCTTAACTATTCAAAACTCAAAGTGCTAAATGGAAAAAAGGTGAATAGAATAGTGTCTAAATATTATATATATTTCATTAGACATAGACATTTAATTTATTTCAAGTCCTGCATTTTCGCCATTAAGAAGAAAGGAGGTCCAACGAATATAGAAAACATCTAAACTTTGTAATGGAAATGTATCAAAATTATCATGTAAACAAATAAAAACCAGATTGTCAAACAAATATTCTGTCATTATAAACGTCAAAAAATTTTCACTAGTAATACCACTAGAGGTCAAATTATTTCCGGAAATTTTTTTCGAGCTCATGAATATTTTGAAAATTATCCCGAGTCGAAGACGAGGGATAATTTTCTAAAAATATTCATGAGGGAGAAAAAATTTCCGGATTTAATTTGACCTCGTGTGGTATTCGGTAAGAAAATTCCACACCAAATTGTGTTTAAATAATTAAAATTTATTTTTTGATTTAACTTGACCTTGACTTGATTATTTAGTTACCATGGCAACTAAGTCAACCCCAACCTAAAAGTTCAGTTTTGAAGCTGTCAAGCGGCACGACGTAAAAAAATGTGAAATTGTCTGCTGTAATGATCAATCATCGTGCAATGACTTATTTACCCGCATTATTAGAGGATTGTGGCTCCTACTTGAAGAAAGAAAATTTGTTTTGAATTGTTCACGAATATTTGCATCTTAACTATTCAAAACTCAAAGTGCTAAATGGAAAAAAAGGTGAATAGAATAGTGTCTAAATATTATATATATTTCATTAGACATAGACATTTAATTTATTTCAAGTCCTGCATTTTCGCCATTAAGAAGAAAGGAGGTGTCCAACGAATATAGAAAACATCTAAACTTTGTAATGAAAATGTATCAAAATTATCATGTAAACAAATAAAAACCAGATTGTCAAACAAATATTCTGTCATTATAAACGTCAAAAAATTTCCAGTATAATTCGCTGTTGGGTACCCACGAGGAAAAAATTTCCACTAAAATTCAACCGTTGCCATGGTGATCTATCAAAAATACACGTTTTGATTGGTTAAAAATTACAGGTGTGGAATTTTCTGAGAAATGTCACTTTGCATGGGTATTTTCCTCGGTATTTTCTAAGCAACGATGCCATTATAATGTAACTTTTACATAGTGGTCGTAGAAAAAAGTATTTTTCTAAAGGGAATTGAAAGTTTCATACAGGAGGATAGGTTTTAATTTGAAACCTATCCTCCTGTATGGAAAAGCTAGGTTTCCTGATTACCAGAGTTGTTAATAAAATTTAGCAAATAATAATTTATCTGGAAACCGAACTTGGAACAACAATATCGAGGATCACACTGCCCTGCAGTAAGTAATAAAGAACACAAAATATTGTTTATTGTTTTTAAAAATTAAAATGATCTTTTATCCTTTATTACTTATGTACCTACCTAGTTACTACGGGGGTTTGGCTTAGCAGGGCAGTGTGTTCCTCGATATTATTGTTCCAAGTACGGTTTTTACCACGATGTGGCTCCCATCCCGAGGCGGGACTTAACTTCGATCCCGACAGACGTCACACACTGTAAATCCGTTTTTATTTCCCGAGCTTTTATAATTGGTGTCAAGCTGGATGGCTTAGATCAGCGGTTCTTAACCTTTTTGGCTGGCGACCCACAATTCAAAAATATTAGAAGCTCGCGACCCGATAAAAAATAAAATCATCAAATTTCTACATTTTCTTAATATAAATTAAGGATGCAGTGATTACGGCGCGCTTTTTCAAAAAGTCCCGCAAGTCCCGCGACCCATCTCGATATGGCCCGCGACCCAAATTTGGCCCGCGACCCGATGGCTTAGATGGTAGGGCGGTCGCTTGGCATGCGAGAGGTATCGGGTTCGATTCTACTAGAAGTTGTCAAACTTTTTTTATTTTTTTTTATTTTTTAAATTTGTTGTTTCTTTGTTAAAAAGTGTTTTATTTTTATCGTAACATAAATTTGCCCATTTTAGTTGGGTTTTTTGCTCAATGGGGCGGGGGGGGGGCCAATGGGGCGGGGTCGGTTGGGTTTGTGTTGTTGAGTTTGGGTTGGTTTGGTTTTATGACGTAACTAACGTGCCCTTAACATGTATACAGGTACAATTTATTATTAATATTATTTTATTATAACATAACAAATCTTAAAATTATGACGTCAATCGGGACTGAATTTAAGTCCCGCCTCGGGACGGGAGCCACAGCGTTTTTACCAGGTTAATTATTTGATTTTCTTAGTATAAAATATTGCAGATACAGGGGTTTAGCCTGGCATGGCATCAAAGTTCACAAATAAATATTAATAAACTGTACCAAATTTTGATAACAAAAACAGCAGATGTCAGTACGAAATAAGCGCCGATAGTGGTAATAAAATAAAGCCAAATTTTCAATATATTGAATTTATTTCTAATATATTGGATTTTTTTCATAATCTATTGGATTTCTTTTTAATATATTGGATTTTTTTCTCAATATATTGAAAAAAATAATGTTATAATTTTGTGACCCTAGTACGCTTTCGTAGTTTGCATTATTATAGAATATATTTAAATTAATACAATTTTTCAGGATTTTTAAATATTTAACAAAAATATTTGCAGATTTAAAGATCTGGAAAACTTTTCCTCTTTAACCCGTGTCACAGTACTTTATATAAACATATAAAACATATTAAACACATGTCTAACCTTGCTCTTCAAAAAATCGCCCAAATTACTTAATCAAGAACCTACCAAAACACAACAATGGTACGTTAAGTCGCGACCTAGAGAAAAAAGAACCACTGGGATTGGATGGTCGTTCAACGCCATACCAAGAATGGTTCAGTCGTACTCAAGACACCGTGCTAATACATACAACATTTACCGTGTAGTGTCTAGCTAAGAAATTTCACCTTTCCAATATCTACAGCAGAAAAGTAAGTACGATAAACCTTGCTTCCGATATCTTCTCTCAGAAGAGATGTGACTTTTTGCGGATGTATCTGTGAAGATCTTTAGAAAGTTATTTCTTCTTATATATACACGGAAGATTAACAAATTTATGCCATACATTATCTGCGCCATAATGCCTAAATAACATTTTTTTACGTGGAAGTACTTTCTCGAAAATCTATTAAAAAGTGTTCTTTATTTAACATTTAATTATTTTTTTTTGCTGTTTTTTCCCGCATAAAAACATTTATGACCAACTATTGTAAAATTCATTGAAGATCCCCTCCTACACCAAAATCTATACTCAAAGATGACATAATTGGAAAAACCATGGTGGGGTGGGTAATGGGGTTGCCCCCCTCTCCTTTAGGGCTAGGTATTGTAATTTTTATTGGGAAATATATAAAGACCCCAAGTGTCGTCTTGGGTCTTTAGTCTTCTCAGCCATCTTAATAAGTATTATATTAAGAAATTTGTTAACAATGGGACCACTTTTCTGATGTGGAAATCTTTAAAAATAAATGTGTTTTAATGCATTGTTTGTGTTTTTGGTTTTTTTTGTGCGAAGTGGTTATATTTTGTGTGATTATTGCTTAATTGGATATGCCTACATAATTATTGTTTTGGATTACGAACTACCTACATAACAATACAAAGAATTTTTAATTTTTTTTAACATCAAACTATAAAGTATTTTTTCTATGTTCAATCAAAATTAACGTCTTTTAATAAATTTTGGATTTTAATAGTTAATTTTTGAAAATTAATTTCTTGTATTTGAAAAAGATTTTTAACTAAACATTATATTGTAATTAAAACCACTTAAAATAAAAATATAATAAAGAAAATATTTAAATATCTAATAAAATATTAAAATTTTTTACAATTAAAAAAATCAAGGTTGGCTAGTTTCTTCAAAAAATTGTGTTAATTTTAATAATTATTTTCTTTATTTACTTGATAAATTGTTTTTCATAATTAATTTTAGTTAATTTTTTAAATATTTTTTTAACCTAATACTATAATAATAATAATAATAATAATTGTCATTATTACAAAAACACCGCAGATTTTATTAAAATTGTACGATTCTTTATATTTTATAAAACTTTACCCTAATTACAAAATTTACATTTTTTAATAAAACTGAATTTTTATATTAAAATTTATGCTCTTAAAACTTTTTTTATGTATTTTAAAGTTAATAAAAACAAAACAATTTTAAAAAAAATTTATAGTGTCCCGAAAAAATTAAATTTAATAATTTTAATGTTTTATTAGTTATTTATGTCATAAGGCTAAGAAGTGAGTCTTTTTGTGTTTAGCTCAAAGTTTATAAGTTTACAATGAGCGAAGCTCATGCAACATTTTATCTTCAAGGCATAATTTGATTTGTTAAACAATATATAAAACGTATATTAATAATTATTAATAATAATTATTAACGAGTTTTTTTACAGACTAGGAGGTATAAAAATTTACCAGATTGGTCTAAAATGAATTAGTCAAAAATGAATAATTGTCATAGCGAAAAAGCAGCTACTTATAACTGCAGTCCACATCAATTTGTATCACGGACATTTAACAGTCAATTCCTATGTTAAATTGTCCGCTAAATCCAAAAATACCGTCAAAAGTTATGAAAGTAGAACAGTTTTTGAGATATAGTCAATTCCATAATATATGAAATATATATCTCAAAAACTGTTATACTTTTATAACTTTTAAGGACATCGGATGCAGCAGACAATTTTACATATAAATTAACTGCAAAATGTTCGAGAAACAAATTGCTGTTGACCAAAATTATTAGTGGCTGCTTTTTTTGCTATGGCAATTAGTCATTTTTGAGTAATTTTTTTTAAGAGAGTAGGAGGTTTTTTTAATTAAAAATAATAGTAATAATAATAATAGGCGATTTTCGCCGAGGCAAAGCAATTGAGCGAAGCGCAAAAAGCCATCTCTCCCGAATAACATAGAGTTACCATTTAATCTTCTAACAAAAACTAAAAGAGCATTAAACAGTTTGTCAATGACAGATGCTTTCTCCGAAGGTATAGGCCGAGATAATATGAATGAAATAGGGTAAAACATGATTTTTTATCGATAGTTTGTATACGCTCAGGTATTTCATTATTGTACTAAAAATAAAGTTATTATTGTACTAATGCAATAATGAATAATTTTTAATGGCTGCGTTGAGGCTAATAAAACAAAACTCAAGATGCATTTTTTTGGCCAGGAAACGGGAAGTTTTTGCCATTTTCCCAACATTTTATTAAAATGGATATAGCCGGTTTTGCACGGATGCTCCTCAATTATAATTACTTAATAGTACTTAAAGTTCTTTTAAAAAGAATATCTTTGAATTGCACAATGTGCAATGCGCATTTCTATGTAATCTGCGGTAGCGTAAAATACCGACAAGTTATAGAAAACAAATAAAAATCTAAATTTTCATGTTATTTTAATTAAAAAACTTTAAAATCAAAAGCATTACTTAGTAGTAAAATTAAGTAAGTAAAAGTTTAAGGGATCTTTATTCTCGATATACGTTATTTAAGTACGTGGCCAAATTTCAAGGTGTATACAGAATTATAATTCTTTGAATAATTCTAAGACGAAAAGTTTAAACATAAATCCGGTAATACTTCATTTTCAACGTACAGGGTGTTTTTTCGAAAATATCTTAATAATCCCTTACCAAATTTTGTTAAAACACCCTGTATACATAAATATTTAGCTGTGTGGGCGACTATAACTTTTATAGTTAAACTAAATTTTGTATTAAACACTTTAAAAAGAAACTGTATTTGGTTAATTTTTATATGATTTTTTATTTTTTTAAGAAAAATAAACATATTTGATTAATTTTTTCTATTAAAAAACCCAATACGTGCCCTTTGATAATAATTACATCGAACAAATTTTGTCGACTGTAAAATTGTCATATGCGTCCGTTGTTTCGAAAATCAAAAAGTATCGGAAAAATTGACCGAGCGCATTTTTTTAATTGGCAAATAGGCATCACAGGTCCAAGTTAATTTAGTAGATGACTCTCGCGTAAAAATAATGACATAAATAAAAAAATAATTACACTTTCTATTTTTCCCAACTTTATCTACTCTCAATATTTTTAAATTAAATAGATATTTATTATTAAATATAAAAAAAAAATTACAAAATAATTTAGGCTTCTATTATAATTATCGGCCATTTATGTGTGCAGAGGCATAGAGTGGCAATTTTTTTCAGTCGTAAATCAAACCATTTATTTCCGTATAATTTAAAACTATATTCAAGGCGATTGTTATTTTATTTCTCTTTTTTGTTCGTAAAAGCTCGAAAAAATACCTTATTTATTAGCAATATCACAAAGTGTGTATAAGCAATAATTAAAAATTCCTAAACATTTATTATTATTCAAACAAAACCAACAGGATCTTTACAAGAGTAATCATAATTTAATTATAGCTTGTTTACACAAAAAATGACTAATTTTGTTGTCAATTTTTTAATTAATATAAATATACTGCGCAAATAAGTTTTCCAATAAGTTGATAAAAAAATAAAATAAAAATATAAAGGCACAGTACTGAAAATGGAACGACATTTTTTAGTAGTTTTCGAATTATAAGGTTTTAAAAGTAAATTTTATTTTTGTTATTTTGAGGTTTTAAGACAATTTAATTATAATGGGACAGAAAAAAATAAAATAAATGTCGTAAAACCTCCTAGTTATATTACAAAAACATATTTCCGATTGAAAATAAATAGACCATAATATATATATTATTTATATTATTATATGTACATATTTGTTTAGTCAGTTTTTATTGTTCTATAAATATTTGAGAAGAAAAAAATTAATTGTTTATTAAAAATAAGAAAGTGTACCAACTGACACTTCGATTATTTTATATCCGTTAAATTCGTAGTTCATATGTTCGGATTTCTATTTCTATTCCCATAAGGTAAAGTGTTACGCTTGATTATCTGCCCAGATAAATCAACATTTTTATAATTAATTGAGTTAAAAAAACACTTTGTATTAGTGGTAAGGATACAGTGATAGCAAGCTGGCAACAGCGATATTTTGGTATAAATTATTATAAAACATTGTTAAATTACTGCAAAAAAGTTTTGAGGCCCTAAAAAATAATATTCATCACTTTTTTAATTAATTTTATTAGGTGTATTGGTCTGTTTGTAGGATAATTTAGGAATTTAAAACACCAGAAAAAAAACAGTTTTATTGAAATATTTGCATTGTAAGTGAATGCCCTGTGATGTGTCAGCCATACACGACAAGTAAACATGACCACTTACCAATGCCCGTGCATTGAATTGTAATGATCACAAAAAATTTAATTTAATTCTTTTTTTTAAGAGAGAAAGATTTCGAATAACTGATATGCAAAACTTATCTCTTCTCCCCTTTATGTATAAAAATATTTTGGTCACGATCAAGTCCAGAATTCTGTCGACTTACCTTTATCTTGTTTTGTGCTTTTGTCTCTAATCTGTCAACATCACAGTAGTCGTCTTTTTGATCGTGAGATTTTGAGGCCGATAACGACCTGCCTAGGATTTATTTGTGTTGTTTATTTATTATTTTTATGGTGGGGGTCAACAATTTATTTGGTGAAAAGATTATAATATGTCAACTTCATATTGAAAACCAAAATGTCAATTTCTGCAATACGTACGGTTTAATTTATTTATTTGTCAATATTATCATAGGTTATTAAAACGAATTCGTTTTAATACAAAGTATCAATTTTATGGCAAATTTTACTATCTGTTACATAATTTTAATTAAATCCCATAATATTTAATAAATATTATTGCATTTATATGAATTTAAGCTTGAAAAATCATCAGAAATTAAAATGTGGAAATTACAATTCGATAAAAATCTACACAATAATTTTATCATTACAACCTATTAAGCAAAACAAAATAAATTAGTTACAGTTTGCAG